GCAGCTGCTCTTCCTGCCTGAGTCCAGAAGCGCCCCCACCCCCCGGCCCTGCACTCAGAGCTCCAGGAGCGTCAGCTGACGGGAGGTAGCCCCTGAGAGCGAGCGAGCGACCCCAGAGCCATTGCGAGTTCCAGCACCCAGCCCAGGGCCTGGCACTCAGCAGGTACGCAGACATTTCTTTTAAGTTGAATACTTGGGTCTAGAGACTAAAAGCCACTTAAAAAGAAAAAAAATGGCTCTTTCGCAAAAGAGGATTCTTCCTTGAGAACAAAGCGTATCCTCCCCGTCTCCCCTCACCTGTGACTTCTTACGCCTGCACCTGTCGAGTGGCTGTTAGCAAATGGCATCCACTCGACCTGAGAAACCGAGGCTGCGCTACAGACGGAGTCGGCCGAGACGCGGAGCCTGGTCGCAAGAGCAGAGTTTATTAATAACACACACGAGTCAGGCCGCGGGCGCCGGTCTGCGGGCTGCGCCGCGCTCAACGGTAGAAAAACCCCTCAGTGGAGACATTCAAATGAGGCTACTACGAAATGGGACAAATGGGCCGAGAACTCGTATTTCAAATGCAAGTTTCTTCTGATAAAATTTTTCACTTTATGAATTAAATACATGGAGAAACATAACGAAAATATATTTACAGTCATTTTAAAAGGACACTGCCAACATATTTAATTTAAAAAGAATCTTTCCTGTCTCCTGCCTGCTTCTTTCAAAGAGAATTTTAAATATGACTTTAGTTTTTAAAAAATACAATAAGGAAATAATTACATTCTTAACAGGAAAACATTTTACAATGTGTAGTCGTGGTCAATGCTGAAGACATATAATTTAAAAGTTGATGTTAAAATTTAAACACGCTTTCTCATTAGAAAATCAAATACAAAGATTATCTCATTAAAAACACCTTTGGTCCCTAAGAATTATGATCTGATGATCCCATTTTGAAAATATTTTTCATGGAGACAAGCAGAAATACCTAACGGTACTTGTACACTGTAAGATAAGCTTTTCTGGAAGAACGTAACTGAAAATATTTCACAAAAGATGGGCAAAAGGCTGCATCTGAACGAAGGCAACAGGTCCCCAGGTGACAGGCTGTCCTGCTATGGCTCCAGGTTCACCAACAGGCGGTTCTGCTTTTTCTGCAATGTGGTGCTGTGTGTGAATGTGGCATGAAAATTTTAGATTATTTTTAGTTTATTTCACAGTGTTGACCCAGCCCATCACGGGGATAATGAGACGGCAATAAGAACAGAATTGAAAAATAATAACTATCTTTTTAAAAACTATACCATATTTGAAATGATTTTTCTCATTAAAAATTATTTTAGAAAAAAGAGGAAGGCAATAGTTAGACATTTAACTGCTGCTGTGACCAAGGGGGGGCACCTTGCTGGGAGCCTGCGAGTCGCCGCGCTCCTGGGGGAGGCTCTCCGTAAGGACCGGGCGGCTGCGTGGCGGGTCAGCCCCCCGCCAGCAGCGAAGGCACAGGAGGTGCAGCCCG